CTGGAGAAGTATTTAAATACACATTTGTCGTATAGGTCTATAACCTAAAAAAATCAAACCATCAAGTAAATATAAAAATGTAAATATAGGGGCCGGTCCGGTGGCGCAAGCAGTTAAGTGCACACGCTCCGCTGCGGCAGCCCAGGGTTTGCTGGTTCGGATCCCAGGCACACACCGACACACTGCTTGGCAAGCCATGCTGTGGCAGCGTCCCATATAAAGTGGAGGAAGATGGGCACGGATGTTAGCCCAGGGCCAGTCTTCCTCAGCAAAAAGAAGAGGATTGGCAGATGTTAGCACAGGGCTGATCTCCTCACCAAAAAAAAAAAAAGTAAATATGAAATATATGTAAAAGGATTAAGTAGTTGTGTCCTTTTTGTACTATAATACTTATTTAATTTTTACTGGCATAATTATGTATTTTAAAAGTTCAATAAAATTTTTCACTGTCTGCATTTCTTGTTACTATTATTTGTTTCATTCATGATTATTACTGAAGATAATTTTGTCATCTCGAGGAGGAGAGTGTTAAAAAAAGATCCTCTGGGTTTCAAGTGTACTAGGTCCACCATGGGCCCAAGGTGAGGATCCTTTGGGATGCCGAGGTCTGCCCTACCTGAGATGAGCTAGGAAGTGAGTCTGACAACCAGGGAAACCAGACTGAGCCAAGAGCCCTAATGACGCTGCTGAGAGGATTTCACAGAATGGTGGAAACACGGAGCACATCTTCAGTGCAGCCTAAATTAGGAGAGGAGAAGGCGAATGAGAGAAGAGAGATCTAGAATGAGAAAACCCTGAACTCGAATTTTGTACTAGTTTGGAATGAACTGTTTTCCAATCCTTTCCCCACCATGCCCCACCCCACACGAATCCTGTCCCCAGAGGCAACTACTTCCAACTCTTTTCCAGTTTCTCCTTGTGTTTACCTCCATTTTTCCAAATATCATGTTTCTGCAACCTATTCTTGATTTCTTTCCATCAGAGGTGTTATCTACTGATTGTTCTACTGTGGAGGATTACGATTTGGGTCTTTCCACTCCCCAAAGCCCGAAAATGCTCCACACTGAAAAAAGAAAAGAGGGACATCGTTCAGATCCTATAGACACTTAAAGGATAACAAGGGAGTAGTATAAATAACTTTTTGCCTTTAAATGTGACAACTCAGATAAAATGGACACATTTCTTGAAAGGCACAAATTACTGAAATTGACAGAAAAAAATAAAAATCTGAATAGCCCCATATCTATCAAAGAAACTAAATTTGTCATAAAAACCTTCCCGCAAAGAAAAGTCCAGGTGCAGATGGCTTCACTTGTGAATACCATCAAACATTTAAGAAAAAATTGAGGGCCAGCCCCGTGGCTTAGCGGTTAAGTGCGCGCGCTCCGCTGCTGGCGGCCCAGGTTCGGATCCCGGGCGCGCACCGACGCACCACTTCTCCGGCCATGCTGAGGCTGCGTCCCACATACAGCAACTAGAAGGATGTGCAGCTATGACATACAACCATCTACTGGGGCTTTGGGGGGAAAAGTAACAAAAAAAAAGAAAAAATTGATATCAATTCTATGCACATCTTTTCAGAAAATAGAGGAGAAAGCACTTTCCAAATCATCTTACGAGGTCTTTATTACTCTGCTACCAAAACAGACAGAGGTTTTACAAGAAAAGAGCTGAAGACCAATATCCTTCATGGACATAGATGCAAAATTTCTTAACAGATTTTTAGCAAGTAAACTCAGTAAGTCATGCAACCCAATTGAAATAAGCAAACGTTTCAACAAACGCTTCACAAAAGACATATACAAAGGGCGAGAAAGCACATAAAAACATGCAATACAGGGAAATGCAAATTAAAACCACAATGAAATACCACCACACACCTGTAGAGAAATTAAAGCTAAAACGTCTGACAATAGCAAGTATTGGCAAGGATGTGGAACACATGCAATTCTCATACATTGCTGGTAGGAATGTAAAATAGTAAAGCTAGATGGGAAAACAGCTTGGCTGTTTCTCAAAGAGTTAAACATACGTTCACCAGATGACCCATCAGTGCTGTTCCTAGGTGTCTACACAAGAGAAATGGAAACATGTCCACACAAAGACTGGTACACAGATGTTTAATCATAATAGCCAAAAAGTGGAAACAACGCCAATGTCCATCAACAGGTGAATGGATAAACAAATTGGAGCATAAAGTAAGGACGGAATACTACTCAGCAGGAGACATGAACAGACTACTGACACACCTGGATGAATCTCAAAATCATGCTGAGCAAAGAAGGGTGGTATCCAATGTAAGCTTTAAAAAGAACCGTGTTAGTGGTGTGGAGGATGGATTGAACGGGAGTGACTACAGCGAGAAGTTCTTCGAGAACTATTGAAATAGTCGAGGCGAGAGAAGACAAGAAGGGATTAAAGTAAAGAAATAGAGAGAAAATAAGAGACATGAAAAAAGAACCCCCCTAGTACTTGATGGGGTGTGTGACTGGAGGGAAGAACACAAGGACAACAGCGCTTCTTAGATTGGAGTGGTGGACCTTACCCGTTGTTGCCTGATGAGAATCTGTTCTCCCTTCTGGAAGTAGACCCTCAATTCCTTCTGGGTAACCATCTCTCACCCACTCTGTCCTTGTAGTTACAGAGGGACTCTACCCCTGCCTGAGGGGAGGAGCACGTCATTCAGTCCTGGCCAATTACACAACCTGGTCTTTCTCGTGGCTGTTGAGATGTCTGTATGTTTATATACTCGTGTGACTGTTTCAGGGGTAGTCAGACGACCCAGGCTTGGTGGGTCAATGCAGTCCCATCCCTGGATACAGGGATTGGTTCCAGAATGGACACTTGGTCCAGTCAGAGTGAATCCTGGGGACTTGGGCTGAAGTTACCAGGAAGAGATGCTTTCTTCCCACTGGACTTGAACCTGGAAGATATGAGCCTGGAGCTGCCGGGAACCAGCGTGTAGGGAGGGCCCACCCCAGAGTGAAGCAAAACGGAGAAGACCGACCTGAGAGACAAAGAGAGGCCAGGTCCTGAGGACATCACTTAAGGCCCTGGGCTTTGCTTAAGGCTGTTCAAGAGTCCATTTACGTATGCAGGTCACTTGCAACAGGAAGGGTCTTGACTGCTCTGCTTGAGGATGGAGAACCGGGAGAGGAGAGGAAGGTGATGAGTTTCGTTTTGGAACATTGAACACGGGGCCCTGTGGAACATCCAGTTAGCAGTGTTGGAAAGATGGAGGCGTGGGAGTCCTTCCTTTGGAGACGATAGTTTAAATAAATCACAGAGTAAATGACAGTGCTCAGAGGGCGTAAAGTGAGAAGATATGTGGGCTAAGGTCAGAACCCTGCGGAGACCTGAGGGAGGGACTGAGAGAGGAGGAGGAGGCCGGGAAGGTCAATAGGGGTTGAAGATGACAAAGGGAATGTTCTGGGGGAAAGAGCTAAGGAGGGAGAAACTGGGCAATGGTGTCCCACTCTGCTCTGAGGTCAGGTTGAGCAAGACTGAAAAGAAGCCAATGGATTTGGAAACGAAGCCATCGGTGACCTTCACCCCAGCAGTTCTGGGAGTGGTGGGTATTGAAATAGGATCCAAAGGTGAAGAAGTGAGCTTAGGTGTCTCTTTAAAATTTGACTCTAGGAGAGAAGGAGTGAGGGTCAGGTTTTTCCTTTTAGGTGCTTTAAAAACAGCAAGGAGTTGGGCATTGCTTGTGGACAGGAAGGAAGCAGCCAATGGAAGGGGGGATGGCGAAGGAGAGAGAATGATGAGGGGTGGGTGGGATGAGAAGAACTGGAATCTTAGGGGCCTGGGCAGAAGGTCTTCTGACAGCAAAGAGCAGCCCTGTTGCTTCTGAGACGTGTCCAGTTCTATTTTGATTCGTTAACCAATGTGTTTTACGTTCTCAGTTTTGTTTTTTCACTCCCAGTCAAGCTAGACTACGAGGCCTCGGGAGGGCTGGGGATCAATCAGTGAGGCAGAACCCCGAGGACTCTCAGGGAATCAGGGTTGTGTTATAGGAGTTAGACTGAACTCAGTCGTGGGAGAGGCTGGGGAAATGAAGGCTGGAAAGGGGAGTTAGAGGATCCGAACCAGGTCGTTAACCTCTCCCTGCGTGGATAGACAGGTAGGACTGAGGAGATGTGTTGAAAGGTTCTTGGCTCTTTGTGGCTGCCCCCTGTGAGGCTGCAGCAAAGGGTCCGGGGTGGGGTCAGTGTTGGTCAGCGAGGCCGGCCAACAGGAATGACACTTGGCTGTAGGACAAGAGCAAGGACAAACTGGAGCCGACCAGCCGTTCCATGGCCATGTCTCACCACCTCAAACCAACGACAACCTTCAGAGCACAGTGGCAGCTGCTGGCCTTTGCCTCCCAGATCTCCTGCACCACCCTTTTTGGCAACTCTACCTTGGAAACATTCAGGAAGGGATTCTGAGAAATGTAGCTCTTAGTGTTACCAAGTAGATGAGGGCTGTTTCATAGAAATATAATGCAAGTCACATAATTTAAAATTTTCTAGGAGTCACATTTTACAAAAAGGAAAAAGAAATGGGAAACTAATTTTAATAATGTATTTAACTCAATAGATCCAAAATATTATCTTTTAATGTATAATCGGTATAAATAATTATTAATGAGATATTTTGCATTCTTATTTTGCACTACATCTTCAAAATCTGGTGTGTGTTTACACTTACAGAGCGTCTCAATTCAGACTAGGCACATTTCAAAAGTCACGTGTAGCTGGCGGCTGCCATGTTGCACAGAACAGAAGTAGGCGATAGGACAATCCAACACTGGCTGTTAAACAGAAGTGCAAAGAAAACGCTGTTGGAAGTGTCCCAATCCTGGGCCCTCAGGGAAAGCAGGCCTGGGACTTGATGTGAAGAACATGTTCATGGGCCGGCCCCATGGCTTAGTGGTTAAGTGCGTGTGCTCCACTGCTGGCGGCCTGGGTTCGGATCCCGGGTGCGCACCGACGCACCGCTTCTCCGGCCATGCTGAGGCCGTGTCCCACATACAGAAACTAGAAGGATGTGCAGCTATGACATACAACTATCTACTGGGGCTTTGGGGGAAAAAATAAATAAAATTATAAAAAAAAAAAAAAAAAAAAGAACCTGTTCATGGAGCCTAGACCTGGCCTATGAGCTAAGGAGCTGCCTTCATCCTTCTTGGCCAGCTCATCACCTGCTCCCTATCTAGTCCAAGAGAAGCCAGCTGTGGCCCGAGACTGTGACCCCACCTGACTTCCTCAAGTGGACATCACCCTTTGTAACAGCCCACGACAAGCAAGCCCCTCAAGCTGGAAGGTGGGCTGGACTGTGGAGGGGTGGCTGGAGGTGGGATCAAAGGGCACAGATACCCTTCCCCGTGCTGGATGGAGCTGAACCAGCTGGGACAGCGGTAGGTACCAGGGTTTGGACAGAGTCACATGGGAAGGCTCCTCTGCCCCAGGTCCTCTCAGATCCCCAACCATGCCCATGAAGGCCACCATGAAGATTCACACCCTTGAGCTAAGGCCTTGCCACTTGGGGGATTTCTTGGTGAGTGAGGGGCAGATGGCTATCAGATATTCAGCCTCGCTTTGGGGGGTCATGAATCTGTTTAGTTTTGGAGCTCTGAGGGAACACGCATCTGGGTGAGAGGAGGGTGAGGGACAGTCAAGAAGGGAAGGAGAGTGCGGCGGGGGAATGCAAGGGCCAGGCTCCTGATGTTGCCTGTCCGGGGGACTGGTTCTCTCACAGCTGGACTCCCAGTGTGGGTTGGCCCTGTCGTTTCCCCTTTGAGGACTCCCTGTCAGCCTTAGGGAAGGTTAATTCCATTCTATTTGGCCGTGACATTTTGGGAGCATCTCATGGTGCTTCTTGGGCCCACCGGAGTTCCCTGGGGGTCAGAAGAGGCAAGAGGGCCATCTGTTTCTCCCTTGTTTGGGCTCCAGGGGCCTAGCTTTGTTTGTTAAACACCAATATCAGATTGGGCAACTCCTCAAACGAAGCCAAGGCTTCTGGCCAGCTGCCCAGGGTGTTTCAAGTCCCAGGCACGGAGGCAGGAGATGTGCACGTGGACACGCCACATGTGAAGCAGGACCAGAGAAGAGCAAGGCCTTGGTGGCCAGGTCTGACCCAAAGGCTCCCCGGGCCCATCTGTCCCAGGGCTCCCCAGCACAGGAGTCAGTGGGTACAAACCTCAGCCAGTTTATCTCAGAAGATGACACCAGTATGTCCATAAAAGCTGAGGTATTGGGAGAAGGAGGGGTCCTGTCATCCTGCAGCTCACGTTGTGATCCTCAGCTTTGTTCTGTTAATCTAGTTATCTCGTCAAGAGAGCCCTTACAAACGACTAAAGAGAACGTCTGTGAACATTAGTGTTTTAATTCAGTAATTCATAATATTTAAAATGTGTCAACAGATTTAAAATAGAAGTGGTGAATCACTGGTTGTAAACTCTCTCTCTTACTGGTAGAGCACGACTTTTCCATCTTAAGCACAAGATAGCTACTTAGCAAATGTGACCAGCAGACTTGGCTGCAACTCACCTCTTGTCTAGTTAGCCTAGTTTATGGTCAAATTGTTGGGTTTAAATGTTCTTCAGATTTTCTTGGTGGAATTCCTGAAACACATCTATCTAGAAGACAAGGTGTAGTATTTAGAAAGAGAACATGAAGTAGAATAGACTATATTGAGTGTCGTTTGTTAAACATTTTCTCCTGCCTTCTGTGTTTGTTTTTATTTTTGGTTACTTTATCTTTTCCTCCCTCCCATTCCTATCATCCAGTATCCAGTTCCAGTTTCCTGGTTTCTTGTGTATTTTTCCAGGGAGATAGACACAGGCTAGATATAGATACAGATATAAATATATAGATATAGATAGATAGATAGATGTACAGGCAAATATATATCTACTCTCTTCCCTCTTTTTTTTTTTACAAAAATTTTAGCATACTACTTCCTTGCTTTTTTCACTTAATAATATATCTTGGAGATCATGAGCACATAAAGAGCTTTCTAATTTTCTTGACAATAATGCTGGGAAAATTAGAAGGCAGCAGAAGAAGAGAAAGACCAAATAAGAGACGGATTGACTCCATAAAGGAAACCGTAGGCATGAGTCTACAGAAGCTGAGCAGGGCTGTTGAGGACAGGAGATTGTGGACTTCACTCTTTCACAGGGTCACCAGGAGTTAGAGCCAGCTTGACGGCATGTAACACACACAATTTTCTTGGAAAGCGGCATGATTTCCGTTGTATGGATATACCATAATTGAATTAACCAATCCTCTACTGATGGTCACTTAGGTTGTTTCCAGTCTTCTCGCTATTACAAACAAAGCTGCAATGAATCATCTTGTACAGACCTGATTTTTCAACGTGTAAGTTAAAGTCCTAGGAGAGGAATTTCTGGATCCTTTGCACATTTGTAATTTTGATAAATATTGCCAAATTAACTTTCATAGAGTTTGTATCAATTTATAAATTGAAATGAATGAGAGTGCATTTCCCCACACCCTTAACAATGTAATGTGTTGGAAAATTTTTTGATGTTTGCCAATTTGGGGGAAATGAGTATGTTGGTGTTGTTTTTTTTTTGTTTTTTTTTTTTAAGGAAGATCAGCCCTGAGCTAACATCCATGCCAATCCTCCTCTTTTTGCTGAGGAAAACCAGCTCTGAGCTAACATCTATTGCCAGTCCTCCTCCTTTTTTTCCCTTTTTCTCCCCAAAGCCCCAGTCGATACTCATATGTCATAGTTGCACATCCTACTAGTTGCTGTATGTGGGACGCGGCCTCAGCACGGCCGGACAAGCGGTGCGTCGGTGCGCGCCCGGGATCCGAACCCGGGCTGCCAGTAGCGGAGGGCGCGCACTTAACCGCTAAGCCACAGGGTTGGTGTAGTTTTAATGTGCACTTCTCTTAGGAGAAATTATGTTTAAGAGCTATGTCCTTTTCTGTGAACTGATTACTTTAAAAAATATTTTCATCCTTATGTGTTATTTTAAAAGACCAAAGCAAATCCCTGAACATTAAAAAAATTATATATAATACATAAATATATATATTTATAATATATATAATATAATAAAATATATATAAAAATATATATGAAAGTTACAAAAGCAGCACTTTTGTCCCAGCCTCTTGTGTTGGGGAAGCTTCCTGTGACCAACTTGAATTATCTTGGGACAAAGATCTGGAGAACAGGAGCACATCAAGTCTGAGAGGTTGGTGAGGATCCTGCCCCAACTGTCCCCCTCCCATCCCCAGGAGGCCTGGCGATAGGGCAGGGCCCAGTGGCTGAGGCCGACACTATCTTGGGAAAGGTCTACTTCTCCAGCTCCATCCCCCCGACACATACACACCAACTTCTCAGGCCAACTCTGCTTGTGCCCATATCTCATCTCCCTTGCCTACCCGAGGACATCGCATCCATGATTATCCACTCGCTGTCCTACCTCACCAGTTCCACTCCTCCTGGACTCTCCTCACCAGAATACAAACGTGCTGTTATTCCTCCCATCTTAATCCAGCCTTAATCTCATACCTGAGCCAGCCACTGCTCACGTCTCTGCTCCCTTTAAAGGAAAATTCCTGAAAAGATTGGGGTTCCCCTCTCTACCTCCTCTTCTCACACTCTCTTTCTCAAATTCTTTATCTGTATTAATTTATATCTGCTTTCTGTCAATGTCTCCAAGAGGAGTGTTAAAGTCTCCAATTATTATTGTGGGTTTGTTGATTTAGTTCTGTCAGTTTTGCTTCATGTATTGAAACTATATTATTAGGATTATTAATGAAACTCAACTAGGATTATTATGTCTTCTTGATGAATTGACTCTTTCATTGTGCAACATTATGCAACATCCCTCTTTATCTCTGGAAATACTCTTTGTCCTAAAATCTTCTTTGTTTGATATTATCATAGCCAGTTTAGCTTTCTTTTGATTCGTATTTCTGTGGTATACCTTTTTGCCCATCCTTTTACTTTCTTCCTTTGGTGTCCATATATTAAATGAACAGCATATAATTGGGTCTTGTTCTTGTATCCAATCTAGTACTCTGTTTTTCACTTGGAGTGTTTAGTCTGTTTACATTTAATGTAATTACTGGTGTGATTGGGTTTCAGTCTAGCATTTTTCTATGTGTCTTCTGTTTGTTCCATCCACTCTTTGTTCCTTTGTTTCTTCCTTTCCTTTCTTATTTTGGATTGAGTACATTCTAGAATTACATTTTATCTCCTCTTGATTTTTTTTGTTTGTTTGTTTTCTGGGAAGGATTTGCTCTGAGCTAACATCTATTGCCAATCTTCCTCTCTTTTTTTCCTCCCAAAGCCCCAGTACATAGTTGTATATTTTAGCTGTAAGTCCTTCTAGTTCTTCTATGTGAGCCGTTGCCACAGCATGGCTACTGACAGACAAGTGGTGTGGTTCTGCACCCGGGAACCGAACCTGGGCTACTGAAGTGGAGCATGCTGAACTTCAACTGCTAGGCCATCAGGGCTGGGTCTTGATTTTTTAGAAAATAAATTTTATTTTTTAGAGTAGTTTTAGGTTCACAGTGAAATTGAGTGAAAAGTACAGAGTTCCCATATACCTCCTGCCCCCAAATTTAAGCATCCCAAATTTAAGATGTCCAAAACAGAACTTATAATTTTTTCCTTCACAGGCCTGACTTTCCCTCGGTCTTACCCATCTTACTAAATAACTCCAATCTTCCAGTTGTTTAGGCCAATAATTTTGGAGTCAGCCTTGAAACTTCTCTTTTACTCAAACCCCACATCCAATCCACCAGAGAATCTTGTTGGCTCAACCTTAGAAATCTACCCACCATCATCTCTCTCCTGGATTATTGCAATAGCTTCCTTGCTTCCACCCTTGCCCTCTGTATCAGCCAGGGACACAGCAGGCTATAGATGGCACTCACAGGATATGATTGCAGAGAAATTATCAAAGGGGCTGATCGCAAGTTGTGGGTGAGGTCAAGGGTACCAAAAAGAGATAGTGAAGCATCCTGTTACCACCCCTAGGTTGGCTAAGAGTTACAGATACTAAATAAGTGCCTCCTGATGGGAGCCATGGCCTATGGTAGAAAAGTCAGCTACTGCCACACTACAGCCCAGCAGTGAGAGAGCCAGGGGAATCTCTGATCTCTTGCCACTGTCTCCCAGTGGCTGAACATAACTGGCGGCTGGAGTGCTGGGAGTCCATGGAGGTTAGCCTCCCTGGGCAGAGAGCAAGGTGGAGAAGGGGAGGGTGGATTTAGAAGGCAAATGGGGAATAGCCATCAAACTCCATCCTCTCCTCACATATGCACACACTGTGGTCCATTCTCCACAGAGCAGCCAGAGTGATCTGTTCACTATGGCAGACCAGAGGGGATAGCAGAGCCACAAGACGGATGGAGCCTGGGTCTGTGAAACACTAAATGGAGGGGGCTGTCTGCTGACCAGGAAACCTCCATTATGTTTGAGTTAATAAATATTTGGGACTCTCTTTGTTACAGTTTAGCCCACTTAACTGACACTTCTGTGAAACAAGGGTCACAAGAGCGTCATCTCCATAGGGTCATTAGGAGAATTAAATAAGATATAATTGCCTAGGGCAATGCTTAGCATATTGTAAGTTCTCAAGCAATGGTAACAATTATTATTTAATATTTGAAATGAATACATAATCATGCTATTAATCCTTTTTTTCAAATGCCTCATTACAGGTGTTGGGGGACTTTTCTAGAGAACAGATGAACTGTGGAGGGTATCCGTATATATGGGAGGGGAGAATTACAGCCTCCCCCCTCAAGAACCTTCTGGTCCACTTGGCCTCTGGGCAGAGAACCCAGGAGAAAAGAGCTTGTTCCACCCCTCTCCTGAGCAGAGCACCCCCACTGGGATCACACTGTGGTACCTGGTCTCCAGAGATGGCCCTAGGGGACCACACCTCCCAGCATCCTCTCCCCTGGTGGTCCCTCCCACACTGAATCTGGGCCGGCCCATGACTCACCTTAGGATAGGGCAGAAGGTACTCTGTGCCTGTTCCAGGTCAGTGCCTTGCACTCTTGCACTTTTGGGAGCCCTAAGTAGTGTGGCTCCCCTGTGGGAGAGACCACATGGAGGGGTCACGTGGACAGGGAGAGACCCTGAGACTCCATGGTGGTGGAGAGAGAGGCCCAGTCCTCCCAGTGAACCAAGTGAGCCCAGCCTTCTGGGTGTCCCCACAAAGGCACCAGATATGCGCGTGTGCCATTTGCAAGCTCCCCAGCCCCGCGGAGACCAGATGATGGCCACTCCAGCCAACATCACAGAGCAGAAGATTCCTCTACCCACGCCCAGGTAGCCCTCAGATTCGAGAGATAATAAAATGGTGCTTGTTTTAAGCCACTTAGTTTTGGGGTGGTTTGTTACATGGCAGCAGGCTCCTCTGGGCCGGCCCACAGGAGCAGCATTTGCTGCTTTGAATTTCCAGCTGCCCCAGCCTCTCTCATTGCAGGGAAAACCAGGGGCGATGCTGCAACCAGACGCAGGCGGGCTGGGGGTGGAATTCTCCAGGCTGTCTTTGGTGGGGGGGAGTCTGAATCCTGCCCCCTCGCCAGCTGGGGAGGCTGAGCTCCCTCCGCTTGTCTCCATTCCTCTTCTTGATTGGCACTTTAATGAGGGCAGAAGGGGCTGACCCCCTGCCAGGGGGCCAGTTCATGCCCCGTTTATCTCACAGCTCGGGGCAGACTAGAACAACACTGCAGGCGAGCGGCCGACCAGGAGCCCGCGCCCTCCGTGATGGATTGAGTGGCCGCGGCGAGTTGGCAGCTGAAGTGTGTGGTGGCTGCGCCGTCCTGTCAGCGTGCAACAAAGGGGCCTGCGCGCCAAGCTGCTCTTGCCGGGAAGAGTGACGAGCAGCTCCCAGGGCCCGTCCGCCCTCCCCCAACTCCAACGCCAAGTTTCAAAAGACAGGCCTGAGGATGGAGCCCGATGTGCCGGAGGGACTGTTCTGGGGTCCAGGGGGGCGGCTCATGGGGGTTGGGGAATTCTGGGCTTGCAGGAGGTGCTGGCGCAGAAACCTTTTTTCTCTCCAGCTCCTAGCTTCAGGGTCCGAGACCGGGCCAGGTTCTCAGCGAACACCCCTCCTGGCTGTTTCATGGATGGGCTCCAGAGTCCAGCAACCTGTAGGGGACCCCAGCTGGGCCTTTTACTTGCTGTGCAACCTTGTGAGTTTGACAACCTCTCTGAGCCTTAGAGCTCTCATCTGTAAGAAGCTACTAAGACTTAGGTCTCTATCACCAGGTTCTTGTGAGGATGAAATGAGACCCGCCGGCAGAGCCTCCCCTGCTAGAACTCAGGGTCCTACAAGCAAGGCCTCAGTTTACTTGGTGGTCTCTGACCATCTCCCCAGCACCCAGGCCTGTGTTGAATGACTCGCTGAGAGCAGACACTGGTGGCAAACCACCCACCCCGCCCCCTCCCAGTTGCTGTCAAGAGCCGTCACCAGGCCCCATACCATCAGTACCACAGCCCTACAGGGTAGGGGTGAACCCATTTTACCCATGGAGAAACCGAGGCTCAGAGAGGTCAATCTGCCCAGGGTCCCACAGAGAGTAGAGACGGAGCAGGGATTCCAACTCAGAGTTGTCTGGCTCCCGAGTCTATGCAGACGTTCCCAAGGCCCCGAGTTCCGGGCTGGAATTTCCCAGTAAGGACGGATGGGAAGCCGATGTCAGCCCCCGTGCGCTCCCAGAGGGAAAGAGCCAAAGGCTCATTCATCGAACACACTGATGTGCTCAAGGTGGCCGTCATTCTCCTTGTCCTGGAGCCACAGAGTGACCTGGACCTCTGAACTGTTCCCTGCACCTTGAGGGAAGCAGGGGCCCCCAAGGGAAGTGCAGCCCCTCTAGCTCGGAGGAGTCACATGGTCTCAGCCCCAGGGCCCCCAGGTCTGGGGTCTTCCAGCCAAGCCCAAGCCCGGGACAGGAGAGTCACGGAAGCCCCTGCTGCTTTGTCCCTAGAGCTGGGGAGAGGAGAGGACAGAGATGAACAAACGGCTCTTCAGAGCCCAGAGAGCCCTGGAAGGGGAGGAAGGGGCCTTCCCGGGCCTCCCTGGGGAGGAAGGAGCAGCCTCCGCTTGGAGGAGACTTCACCTCCCCGTGAACTCCCGGAGGCGGGAGGCCAAGCCCCAGCCGAGGTCAGAGCAAGTAGCAGGGTGACAGTGGGGCTCCACACAGCCCTCCCTCCCTCTCTGCTGCGTGTCCTCCAAAAATGGCATCTGCCCCTCAGCTGCCCTGACATCTCTGCCCTACATCCAGCAAGAGATGAGCTGCCCAGGTGGGGCAGGGGCAGTGGGGCCCTGAGGGCGGGCTGAACCAGGAGACAGTCCCCTGAGCCCTGACCCAGCAGATTAGGAGAGACCCTGCCTTTCAACCCGGAGTTCCAGTGCCTGACCCTGGACCCGCTGAGCATGGGCTTCACGCTGTTTCTTCCCGCCCCGAGGGCTGTGCATGTGCTGTTCCCTTTGTCTCAAAGTCTCTTCCCTCTTTGCCTGGTTAACTCCCAGTGAGCCTTCAGAGCTCACCTCAAATGTCACTTGCTGTGGGAAGCCTTCCCTAATGGACACCCCTCCCGCCCTGCAGACCCCCAGTCAGAATGAGTCACATCCCTGTGGTATAACCCGCATGGTTCCCCAGCCCTTCCTTCACAGCTCATACATGTTACATGTCGCCCTCCATCTCTTTGGTTCATGATGGTGAGCCCGTGAGGGCAGGGGCCATCGCTGCTCACCTGGGTGTCCCCGGCCTCTAGCAGACAGCCCGGCACACAGTAGCTGCTCAATAAACACTTGAGGACCAGACACCGTTGGCCAGAGTGCATCTCCCAGTAAAGAGCGGACTCTACTGGGGCAGGGACATGTCTGTTTTGTTCATCATTATAGCCGCCAACTCAGAGTCTTGCACAGAGAAGGCTCTTATGGGGTATTCAGTAAATGAATGAATTTGCTGCAAAAGAAAAAAGAAAGCAAGAACAACCACAACCACAAAATCAAGGAAGCTGACCTAGTTTGGGGCAAGAGCCACTGAGAATGAGGAGACTCTGAGTCCTTTCATTTCAAAAGAATTGCTCCACATGCTTTGTTGAGCCAAGTCCCCAGGGAACCATGACATCAGAGAAACCTGACTGAGCCTGAGACAAGATCAACTAAATTACTCCAACTGATCACTCTCTCCAGGCTCTCATTTCTGCCCACTTGCTCTTGGACAGTTGAGGGTGAGGGGTGACTCTAACGCAACCCACGACAGCTCTGGGGAAGGAACAGATGTCAAAAACCATAAACTTTCCAATGTTCTAAATTTGTGAACAAAGCAAAATGTCTGGAAACATGAGGTAAAGGAAGAATGGCTACAGTATATAAAGAGCTCATTAAAATAAACAAGAAAAACATCAAGAGTCCAATATATGTGAGCAAAGAACCTGAAAAGATCATTTACGTACAAAGAAATTGGAGTAAAGCAGCCAGCGTTCAC